GTTTTTTTATCTTCTTTTTCTTAGATAAAGTCCTTTTATCATTTCATATAATAAGGTCCCTTAGATAAGTCCCTTTAACATTTCATATAATAAGGGCTTGGTGATATTAACTCCTTGAACTTAACCTTATCTGAGAAGCACTTTATCTGTCCTTCCATTCTAAATGAAAACTTTGCTGGGTAGAGCAATCTTGGTTGTAGGTCTTTGGCTTTCATGATTTGGAATACCCCTTTCCAGCCCCTTCTTGCCTGTAAGGTCTCTTTTGAGAAATCAGCTGACAGTCTGATGGGAACTCCTTTGTAGGTAACTGTCTCCTTATCTCTTGCTGCTTTTTGGATGCCTTTTATTTCTTTTTCTGTCTGATTGCTCTGGGTAGAACTTCCAATACTATGTTGAATAATAGTGATGAGAGTGTGCATTTTTGTCTTGTTCTTGTTCTTAGAGGAAAAAATTTTGGCTTTTCAAAATTGAGTGTGATGTTAGCTCTGGGCTTGGTCACAAAAAGCCTTTATCATTTTGATTTAAGTTTCTTTTATATCCACTTTTTTGAGAATTTTTATCATATGAATGTTAGATTTTGACAAATGCTTCTTCTGCATCTATTGAGATATTCAAACAGCTTTTATCCTTTAGTTTGTTAATGTGGTGTATCACATTGATTGATTTATGTATGTTGAACCATTCTTGCATTCCTGGGGCGAAACCCATTTGATTATGATACGTAATCCTTTTAATATGTTGTTGAGTCCAGTTTGCTAATTTTCTGTTGAGAATTTTTGCACCTATGTTTCTCAAGGATATTAGCCTGTAATTTTTTTTTTAATGTCTTTGTCTGGTTTTGCTATATTGGTAATGCTGGCTTCATAGAATGCATTTAGAAGCATTCCTTTCTCTTCAATTTTTTGAAATGGTTTACAAAGGATAGGCATGATTTCTTCTTTGAATGTTATGTAGAATTACATGTGAAGCCATCTGGCCCTGGACTTTTATTTGTTGTGAGTATTTTTGATTACCACTTCAGTTTCTTTGCTAGTAATTGGTTTGTTTAGATTTTGTATTTTGATCTGATTTGGTCTTGGAAGGTTGCATACTTATAACAATTTATTATAACATTTCTTCTAGGTTGTTGGATTTGTTGGCATGTGATTGTAGTATCCTTTAATAATTCTTTTTATTTCTGTTGTGTTGGTTGTAAATTCTTTTTCATTTATGATTTTATTAGGACTCTTTTTTTCCTTGATGAGTTTGGCTGGAGGTTTTTCAGTTTTATGTTTTCAAAGAACCAGTTCTTAGTTTTATTGATGTTTTCTATTTTTTAGTTCTTTTTTATTTCCACTCTGATCTTAATTCTTTTCCTCCTTTTGTTTTCTTTGGGTTTTGTTTGTTCTTTCTCTAGTCCCTTTAGGTATAGAGGTAGATTGTTTATTTGGGATTATTTCTGCTTCTTGAGGTAGGCCTGTACAACTATGACCTTCCTTCTACAATTGCTTTTGCTACATCCCATACATTTTAAAAAGTTGTATTTTCTTTTGTTTCAAGATAGTTTTTTATTTCCTGTTTAATTCCCTCTTTGATTGATTGGTTGCTTAGTAGGATATTGTTTTATCTCCACATATTTGTGGATTTTTTTCCAGTTTTTTTTTCTGTAGCTGCTTTTTTAAAAAAATATTTTATTTATTTATCTTTAGAGGGGAAGGGAAGGAGAGAGGGAGAGAAATCAATTTTTCTTTCATGATTGAATCTCAATCCACTGAGCTACACCAGCCAGGTGTAGCTGCTTTTTAATTTTCATGCCACTGCAGTCAGAAAAGATATGATTTCAATCTTTTTGAGTTTATGGAGGCTTGTTATGTGGCCTGATATAACCTGAGAATAGTCTGTGTGTACTTTAAAAAATTCTGTACTTTTTGGATGAAATGTTCTAAAATGTCTACTAGGTGAATCTGATCTAACATGCCATTTAGGGCCATTATTTCCTTAATAATTTTCTGTCTTGATCTGTTGATCCCTTGATGTGAGTGGTGTGTTAAAAATCCCCTACTAGTATTGTATTACTGTGGATTTTTCCTTTTATGTTCATTAATAATTACTTTGTATATTTTGGTGCTCCTTTGTTGGGTGCATAGATATTTATGATTGTTAGATTCTCTTTTTGGATTGACCCCTTTATAATTATGTAATATTCTTGTTCGCCTTTTTAAACATTTTGTGTTTTGTCTAATAAGAGTATCACTACTCCAGCTTTCATTTTGTTTCTATTTGCATAGAATATCTTTTTCCATTTCTTCACTTTCAGCCTATGTGTGTCTTTTGATCTTAAGTGAATCTGTTGTACACAGCATATAGACTGGTCTGTTTTTTAATTCATTCTGCTACTCTATGTCTTTTATTGGAACATTTAATTCATTTGCATTTAAAGAAATTATTGATAAGTATATACTTATTGCCATTTTGTTAATTGTTTTTGGTCATCTTTATAATTCTGTTTCTGCCCTTTTTCTTGCTCTTTTCCTTGTGGTTTACTGGTTTTCTTTAGTGTTTTATATGGTTGTTTTCTCTTTATTCTTTGTATATATTTTGTAGTTCTTTGGTTTGTGGCTACCATGAGTTTTATATATATTATTCTGTAACTATAGTAGTCTATTTTAAGCTGATAGGCATTTAAGTTCAAATATATTCTATAAGGACTACATTTTTAACTCCCTCCTCCTCACTTTATGTTATTGATGTTATGTTACATGTCGGATCTTTTTTGTGTGATATATCTCCTAACTATTGGCTTTTGAGTTTGATAACTTTTTTCTTTTGACCTTCATAGTAGCTTTTTAAATATCTGATTCACTGTATTTATTAAATGTTCGGCCTTACCTGTGAAATTTGTTTCTTTATCATATTTTCTTATTTCTGATTGTGATCTTTCCTTTTCTGTTTAAAAAACACCATTTAGCATTTCTTTTAAAGCCAAAATAATGGTGACGACAATCCTTTAGTTTTTGCTTGTCTGGGAAACTCCTTATGTCTCCTTCAATTCTGAATGAAAATCCTGCCAGATGTAGTATTCTAGGTTGTAGCTTTCTTTCTTTTAGCACTTTAAAGATGTCCTGCTACTTCCTTCTGGCCTGTCCAGTTGCTGCTGATAAGTCAGCTGATAGCCTTATGAGGGTTCGTTTGTGTGTAACTTGTTGCTTTACTCTTGCTGCCTTTAAGATTGTCTCTGTATCTTTGCCTTTTGTCATTTTAATTATATTATGTCTTGTTGTGGACCTCTTTGAGTTCATCTTGTTTGGTACTTTGTGCTTCCTGGATATGTTTTCTTCCTCAGGTTGGGAAAGTTTTCAGCTATTATTGCTTTAAGTAAAGTTCCCATTCATTTTTTCTTCTTCTGGAATCCCTATGATGGAAATGTTTTGAGTCCCACATGAAAGCCTTACACATTTAACTATGCCTTCCCCACCCCTTCCTTGAAAGGTCCTGAACTCATTTTTGACTCCACAGTACTATAAGACTGTAGAAAAATCTGAATCTCTGCTTAGCTGTAGTCTCCTGCCCTGAGGAGCATAAGAATTCAGCAAGTTCTGTGAGATGAAAAACACTAAATTTTGGAGTCACTTCTCTATATTTCCCTTTTCTCCCCAAAATTAGACTATCAAGTTGGCCTCAAGTGACATACATGGGTTGCCTTTAGACAGCTTTCTTTTCATTTCAGATTTCCCAGTCATTTTCCACATGTATATTGTTCTGCCACAGGCTACTCTATCCGGTCCAAAAGTGAAAGTCAGTTCTTAAGTTTTTGAGATTTGGCAATATTAGTGTTTAATGTTGACCATTCTTTTTTTTTTTTTTTTTGAGCAAAGATACATATTCTGAGCTCACCAGGATTTTTAGCCTTAAAATACACCTATTTAACTTTCTCAGATAACTTTTAAAGAGTTTTTTTTTAATACCTCTTTGCAGATTTTCTTGATTGAGTAGAGAAAAAAGTAATGAGAGAGGCTTGTTCTTGATAGTACTTTTCCATAATCGGCATTATGTGTGTTTAGCAGCTAATGCTTATTATTCCATTTCTTAGTGTAGAGTCTTAAATAGACTTAACGTAAAAGGTACATATTCACAAATACATATGCAAAACTAATATGCAATTCAGAGCGCTACTTGTTAATATCAAGGTACCGTGAAGGAAAACAAGTGAGACCGTTGTTAAGTGTGAAATTTGTATTTGGAGAGAGGAATCATTTTGTCATATAATTCATGGGACTGTGGCTCCTCTCCAAAGAACAGGGTTCCCTTCTAGTTGCCTGGTATTCTTCTTTCCCTAGGTTCAGGGCCTTGCCCTCTAAGACATGGTGGGTACATCCTGGTTCTCTGTGCATTCACCTCATATAGATGTCACGTTATTCTTATAAATTTGAAGATGTCGCTTCCTCACCAGTAGCAGGAGGTCCTTCATACAGCCTTAAGAGTAGCCTAACTTTTTATCATCCATCTGAATGCTCAAATGAGTATATAAAACATTAAAATACTGGTTTTGGTAGCTACTCTGGAGCTGAATTTTTTTCTGCCACATTCATTCCTTCTAGTTTCAATGATTTCTTAAGGTCACATCTGGATTATTAAATGACTGTATCATTATAGGTACATTATATGTACAAATAAGGTACTTTTTTTCTTATCTGTTGGCAAAATATGGTCTGTGTAGGTTTTTCTATGGCTTTGAAAATCAGGTAGCTTCTGTGTAATCACAAATAAAATAACTGTTATACTCAGGATTGCAACCCAGGCCTATGACTTCTGGACTCAAGGTCCCAAGATCTCCTGCATATCACATTGTACATTAGATCAACCCCTTCCTACTTTGCCCTCTGTTCACCTCTTTTCCCTTTTTCAAGAAATTTTCAAAAATTCTATCTTTTTATTAACATTTTAAACAGGCTCATCAACTTAATCCCAACTAGATGTTTTGCTAGGACAAAACAGGCATTTTTGTTTCTGATGTCTTTCAGACTTGATGCCTCTCCCTGTGAGTAAGAAATCTACTCTCAAGGCAGATATTCCTGAACAAGAGTCGGATCAGTGGATGGTGGAAGGGAGATTCACTAGCAGGAGTCACTGGACGTGTGATGGTCCATGGGAATGGCAGCATGGAGGCTGTGAGGTGAAGCCACGGAAAGGGGTACTAACTCCCCAGCAAGCCTCACCTGTGGGCAGTGACCAGGAATGGGATGGATCTGGAAGGCCCCACACCATGAGCTCATCTTCTGTTCAAAGTCAGGGATTTCAGTCTAGCAAAAAAGCCTTTGAGTGTAGTGAGTGTGGAAAAGTCTTCACGACAAGTTCGACCCTTAATAAACATCGAAAAATTCATACTGAAAAACTTAATTCTAATCCAAAAACTCTTATTAAAGAGAAACGGTACGAATGTAGAGAATGTGGGAAGGCCTTTCACCAGAGCACACACCTTATCCATCACCAAAGAATTCATACTGGCGAGAAACCATATGAATGTAAGGAATGTGGCAAGGCGTTCTCAGTGAGCTCCTCTCTCACTTACCATCAGAAAATTCACACTGGAGAGAAACCTTTCGAATGCAACTTATGTGGAAAAGCATTTATCCGAAACATACACCTTGCCCACCATCATAGAATACATACCGGAGAGAAACCTTTCAAATGTAACATATGTGACAAGGCCTTTGTTTGCAGGGCACATCTTACCAAACACCAGAATATTCACAGTGGAAAGAAACCCTATAAATGTAACGAATGTGGAAAAGCCTTTAATCAAAGTACAAGTTTTCTTCAGCATCAGAGAATTCACACTGGAGAGAAGCCCTTTGAATGCAATGAATGTGGAAAAGCCTTCAGAGTGAACTCTTCCCTGACTGAGCATCAGAGAATTCATACTGGAGAGAAACCTTATAAGTGTAATGAATGTGGTAAAGCTTTCAGAGATAATTCATCCTTTGCTCGACATCGGAAGATTCACACCGGAGAAAAGCCTTACAGATGTGGTTTGTGTGAGAAAGCCTTCAGGGACCAGTCTGCTCTAGCCCAGCATCAGAGGATTCATACTGGGGAAAAACCATATACGTGTAACATATGTGAGAAGGCCTTCAGTGACCATTCGGCCCTTACTCAACATAAGAGAATTCACACTAGAGAAAAACCTTACAAGTGTAAACTCTGCGAGAAAGCCTTCATCCGAAGCACACATCTCACCCAACATCAGAGGACACACACAGGGGAGAAACCGTACAAATGTAGTAAGTGTGGGAAAGCCTTCAGCCAGACTGCAAACCTCATCCAGCATCAGAAACATCACATTGGAGAAAAGTGATTGCAGTTTAAAGAAAAGAGCTTTGAGACTGAGTATATGAATAATTTGAAGGTAAGAGAATCCATTCTGGAGAATAACCATAAAAGCCTGTGTTAAGATAGTCATTTTATTACTGAGAATCAAGCTTCACACTATTGTGGGTTTTGAGAATTTAAGAATATCAGACACTCTTCATGGTTCAGAACTGCCTCACCCAAATAGCAGTACTGTGTAATTAGTCTGGATTGCCATGTGTGAGAACCAATATGGAGCTTCATTAACAACATAGAAATTTGTTTATCAAATTTACATTTTGATTATTAAGAGAAATTATACAATTCTTAGCCCCCTTGGCCTAGAATTCACACACAACTTCTGTTCACACCCCATTAGCGACAGCTAACCATATGACCTGACATGGAGACAAGAAAGGTGGGAAGAGGCTGGAGACCAACCCAGTGAGGTCCCCATGCCTATGGTGCTCTGATGAGTTGTGTGCAGGCTGAGTGTATGAAAGTCAAAAATAGAGAGAGGAATGGTAAAATTATAAAAATTAAGGATAAGAAGTAAAGGTACAAAACAGTAAGAAAATGGTCTACAATTTCACTTTACTTGCATCTCTCACAAAAGAGGGTTTCTACTTTTGGCAGAACCCTTTGTTCTCACCCACACTGCTGACATCCAGAGTAAAGGGCATGCGTCCTCTCGTGTGTCAGCCGGGACTGACTGAAACTCTGCTCCCCAGCTTCTGTGTCATGCCACCTTTTGCAAGATCTCCCTGGTCTGTGTACCCACTGGCTTTCTGCCTTTCTTCTCCTTCCAGGACAATTTATTTGAATGGTGTGTCCCTCTTTTGATTTAGCAAACCCTAACTGGTAACATCATTTCACTTATTAGCCATTTGTTCTTGGGGAATATAGTGATCCAACCTCACACACAGTCCATGATTCTGGGTATCGCACCAAACCCAGCTTTCAGAACTTGGAACTGCTGCCTGGGAGGCAGAGATTAATAAAAATTCCTGAGTTACCCAGTTTCTCTGGACTTCAACTTGACTCTGACACTGGAGTGATACCTGAAGTAGAGTCTTAGTCTTTGTAAACATTACCCTCCAACTGTTTGTACCACAGTTACCCTACACACAGCAGGCAGTTACACCTTGGCCTCAGGTGAGACAGTCCCAACCATCTGCTTGTGTGTGAAGTTGCCTCCACTTCTCTGATTTGCCATTTTCTGTTGTGCTACAGACAGGAGAAGCAGAGCCCACAGCCTGTTCTCAGAAGGCTCTGCCCCACTCTCCAGCTGGGCAGTCCCTAGTGCTCCCTGCATTAGAGTTTATTTGTTATAGCCAGAATATTAAACTGCATCCTGGTCCTTGCCCTGCCTTTGTCCAGTTTTCTGAAGGTATTAACTGTGTTCACAGGAAAGGCAGAGAGCTTTGTATTTGTGCTCTTTCATTGGAAAATGGCCACTTCCTCTCCTCCATCTGGGTATTCTACTACCTAAGGACTATCCGGTTGTGACAGTGGTGAGCAACATGTTGAGACTTGTGATTCTACAAGTCAAGAAGTGGTCACCAGCACCATGACAGTCTCTGGTAGGAGCAGTGTCTGTGCCCAAAAGTTTGAATGACACTCTAGTCCTACAGGTACAGATCATTTATCACCTTAGTCTTTCAGCTTGGTCATAGAAATCACAGGGATAAAATAACATCTGTGGTGTCTTCAAACAGTTTCTGGTGGCATGTCCCTTCCCCCTGCCCCACAAAGAATGGGGAGCACACACCAGTGCAGGCTGTTGCACTCTGCGTCATAAAGGTGGGAGAGCAAGGAGACCTGGTCTGGGCAGAAGGTAACAGGTTTCTGGTTTATGGAGGTGCACCCCATCAATCTGGGCAGCCTGCTGACCCCTATGAATGCTTCACCTCAGCTCCCAGCATAGAGAGGGTCTTCCATGTCATGGTGGACTCAGTGGACTCCAGGTCAAATAGTTGAACCTTGGTGCTGTCCAAAAGCCCAAGTTCTCTGAATTCAGCCAGATTATACCCAAGGCATTAGAGACTCCTAGGAACATTTCATTCTGTACCTCACTTTTCTAGCCTTGCAGATTGGCCACATGGACACTGACTGACAGAGGACCCTTGGGACCCACCCTTCAGGGGTGTGCCATCTGCAGCATATCCAGCCCACCTCCCACTACCCCCTGTCCCACCTATATGTGAAGACTTCCCAGCACACTCAGTACACGTGCGTGGCAGAGGAGGTGCTGGGCTTATGTGTGAGCCAGGCTTCCCTCCCCCCACATGTACTGCAGCTAATCTATGAGCTGAGAAATGGACCTTGGCCCAGCTATCCCAGTTGTGCATTTCAAAGTTGCCTGGTGGGGAAACCTATTGGAAGTGCCAATTGCTCTCTGCCTGGGGCAGGGTTTAAGTAGAGGAATAGCCTCTAGACTTGATTACATTCTTCAGTGTCTATGGCCTTCCATGAACAGCTATTGAAACTGCCTGATCTCAAGGAGAAAAAAAAATTACTCCAAATTTCCCCTTGTAAATTCCTCTAATCCTTCTCCCTTGTTAGGTTTCAACTCACATTCAGCTGATTGATTTTGCACGTGGTTCTCCCTGCCCACTTGAGTTTGCCTAGCTTTGACAGTGGCATCTAAGATATTGCCTTCTTGCATGCTCAGCAACTGCTTTTCAAATGGCACCTTGGGCCCTGCCTGGTATGGCTCAATGGATGGAGTGCCTGCCTGCCAACCCAAAGGTCGCTGGTCAAAATGTCACCTTGACTTGGCAGCAGGCTCAGTCTCAAAGGTTACTTGGAATAAAATAGCCCTAAACTGCATGCATGCCTTAGGTTGAGAAAACAGTTCCCTTAAACATCAATTTAATCTAAGAATGGGCAGCCTCCAGCTGTCTGAGTCCTCTCCCTCCTCTTCCCCTTTGCACTTGTGTTGCCTCCTGTACACTGCTGGATTAGACGGAAGGACAGTGTGGAAACAAGACTCCCACCTGCTGTAGGAGGGTTCCCAGCTTCCTGGGCAGCCTCAACTCCTGCTAAATACATTTTTGGTAATATTTTTACTTTAAATATTTTATACCGGTTTGTGAAGGGAAAAGAAATGCAAAGCTTGATTTTCCCCATCACTTGATTTTCTCAGTTGTGCAAGTAATCATTCTCCGCAAGTGCCAGATTTGATTGTGAGACTCACCTCCCTGTTGTGTGTTACCTTGTATGCCACACATCATTATCTTAAAAGTTGTTGCCATAAAAGTATTTCAGTGTGTCTTTCTGAAAATAAATGAGAAAATAACCAATGTTTAAGCTGTACACATTGCATTTGTGTTGCCTGCTTCCCTAATTAGATAAAACTAAGACATGACAGATTCGTGTTTTTGGTCCTACCTCCACATATGGCTGTTCAAACTTCCCTGGCCCCAGACACCACAGTATTCCAGCTACATCCTTATTGCTGGGGAGAACAGTTAACATTTGAGGGCATACCTTGTGTTAGGTACTGTAAGCACCCAGTGTTTATTAACTCAATCACAATCATAAATAGTTATTTCTACCATCCCTTCTTGAAGGTTGAAGAAAGGCTTTGATGACCCCAAGAACAATATACCTGTTGAGAAGACGCCCTAGTGGCTAACTGGGCTCAAATTTATAAACAGCCTGGAGCTGTTTGCTAAACAGGGGCAGCTTAAGCAAGCCACGCTTAAGGGAGAAGTTGGCACTAAACTGCTTGCCTCCCACACTGTGTTGCTTGCCTGCATTGTGCCTGTCTAAGCTAGTCCTTATAAAGGAGTTCTGGAATCCTATTTTAGTCAATAGGATTGAGACTTTCCCTATCTAATCAGCTGGGCAGCCATAGCCTCATTACCAATTAGAGTGGCTGTTCTGGCCAATTAGGACAGTACTTTTTGGACCAATCAAAATGTAGGATTTGGAGTCCTTATTTGCATGAGAACAGACCAATTGGATCAGGGGAGGGGCCTTCTCTACATAAGTTAGCTTCCCTCCGGAGTGGGTGAGCACTTTGGCCCCACTTCCCCAGAGTCTGTGGTGGGCAAGCGTTACAGATACCTGAAATTACAGGGAGACTGACTCAGGGTAGACTGGCTTCTCAGAGTCCAGTTATGCAGCTGTTGGAATAAATTCACTTTAGTAAGGGAGGTGTCAGTGGTTGTTCCTTGGCAAGTAGTGATCCCATAGTCTTCATCTTTTAGGTTTTCTTTAATCCAAACTTTCTTACTCTTTCTAGTGGTTTTTTATTCCTACCATCATAATATGCTAGATATGTTCACATCATAAGTCATACTTTGAGCTCTTACTATATATCATCCAGGTACTGTGAACATTGCCTACTTTATGCTGTGGAATCTAAACAGAACTGCCGGATGTGTGGGTGTGGGCAATGACCCATTGCTAGATATAGTTTTCCTACTCACTGTATAGATGAGGAATCTGTGACTTGCCCAAGATCAGTGTTAGAGTAAGAAAAGCAGCTTCTGATCCTAGAAACCAAGCCCTTAACGATTAAACTGGACTGCCGTGGGTCTTGGAGAACTAGTCACCCTGCCTATCAGTTTTCACTCACCTCTCCTCTCTTTTCCTGTTTATTCCCCTCCTTAAACAAGGCAACATCAAAAGTGTTTCTAAGAATGCTGGTGCATGCATGATTTAGAGCAATACTATTTCAGTGAGTGCATGTCAAACACTGAAAAAATACATGCACAAAAGATGTTTCTAAGATACTGTTGGCCTTAATAAGAGCGCTTGTTATTTCATCAACATTATGCATCTATTTGGGAATAGCAAAGGCACTGCAGTTTAGAACAAGCAAACTGTGAAAACCATGGGCATGTGGGAAGATCAGGGGAAAGGCAAGGAGGAAGTGGGGAGGGGCCATTTGGAATTGCTCAGAGGGGTGTCAGCTCCTCATTGGCTGGGCTGTTGGGGAAGGGAAAGTTCTTCCTTTTGCTAGGTGTGTCAAGCAAACTTCTTCCTGTTTTGTGTCTGAGTGACAGTGTATGAGAGTCCCCCTCCAGGGCTTCCCTTCTTGATTTTAAATGAAATTTCCTTTATTTTCATAACAGTCTTAAAACAGTGGCCAGAGTGGTCCTTTGAAACTTGTCAGACCATCTCAGTGTGCTCTTCAAGTCCTCCAGGGTAACCCTCCTGTGTCTCCTTATTCACCTAGGGTCGCAGCCTGTGGACTCCACAGGACAGTCCCCTAGTACTTCATGTTATAGTTTCTTGTATCCACTTGGCTAGGCTGTAGAGCCCAGTTATTCAATCAACCACTAACCACTGTGCTGTTTAGGTATAGTTAATAGTACAGGCAGTTGACTTCAAGTAAAGAAGACAGAAATAATTGTCCTCAATGGGCAGGCCTTAGGAGCAAAAATTCAGGCCTCCCAGAAGAGAAGTAATTCTGCCTCAAGACCACAGCACCAGCTCTTACCTGAGCTTCCAGCCTGCCACCTGCCCTACAGATTTCAGGTTTGCCAGCTCCCACATTCATGGGAACCAATTCCTTAAACTGTATCTCTCGAATATATCTATATCTTTATCATCCGTATCTATGGATGATAGATACATCATCCGTCTCCTCTATTGGTTATAGGACAGATAGATATATAGATTATCATTTTCTCTCTGCTTTTGTATTACATGTATATATCATGTATACACACACACTATATATTCTCACAGCCTATATCTACAAGTATACTCCTATATAACATACTATATCCAATAGGAAATATACAAATATAGATATTTTTCTATATAGAGATAGGTAGAGATCTGTATCTTCATTCATCTACGTATTGGGATTCTCCAGAAAATCAACATGCCCTACTGGCACTGTTTTTGTGGGGAACCCTGACTGATACACCTTGCTCCCTTTCTCTCATTGTTTCCTTCCCTTACCCTGCTCCAACCACACCAGTCATCTTAGTTGGTCCTCACAGATACCAGGCGTGCCCTGTTCTTGGGCCTCTTCACTGGCCACTCCACCTGCTGGACCTTCTCTCCTCAATAACCCCACAGCTTTCTGCGCACCCCCTCCCAGTGCTGCCTGTCAGTGACACCCACACTGAACCACTCCATCTAATATGGCAGCCCATCCCCTCCAACCTTCCCCATTCTCCTTATCCTGCTCTAGTATTTTCTTTTTTTCCACAGTGCTTGTCCTCTTCTGACAGACTATATATTGGATTTATTCGTATTAAAGAATTGTTTATTGCTTGTACCCACCACTAGGACGTAACTCTCAGGAAAGAAACAATGCCTGTTGTATAGACTGATTCAGCACAGAGGTAATTCCCATGACACTTGGAACGACAGTGAATGAGAATGCTGCAGGGGTCAGGAAATTGGGTCTTGGCTGTGAATGGGGTCTTGGGAGACCAGTCAGCTGAGGTGCTTGGCTTGATGAGCTGGTCCACATGGAAGTGACTAGTAGGGCTTGGGGGGGGGGTCAGTGCTAGGGAAATAGCTTCAGTTATTGGACATCTCTGTGGGGTTGCTAGGAGACTTTGGCTGTCAGTAACTATAATAGAGACCAATTATTCTGCCCAAGGTCACCCATCCAGCAAGTGGCAGAGCTGGAATTGATCGCAAGAAGTCTTAACCTCAACATTGTACCATTTGAAGATGTGAAAACTGAGTCAAGAAGTATACAGTGTCAGGGTCAAGACAGTGTCTGTGGATTCTGGAAAACTTCCCTGCCTGAAAACTCTAAATGGGAAAAAGAACTCAGACATTGATACTATGGGCCAGCTTGATATTCAAGAGTTCTGGTAGAAGAAGATAATGATACCAAATCTGCCAGATTATATAAGGGAACAGCATGTGGGGCCATGATACTCTGGCCTAATGTGGCCTTCCTGCTATTTTTGTTTCTGAATCTTCAGGTAAATATGAGACTAAATCACAGCCAGATGCAGGTGCCAGGATAGTGCAGGGCCCATAGCAATGTTCCCCTAAGTGTGGGGGCCCAGTGCCTTGTAACAATGACTTTGATGTTGGTTGTAGGACACAGGAAGCAGAAAGACCAGTTAGTTAGTATCCTGTCACAGTAATCCACAAATGAAGTGATGAGGCTTCAAATGTTTAAAGCCAGTACCTTAACAAATCTGCCTTTCTGCACCCTTGTTTGCATTTTCCCTCCAGTGCTCCCACTCACTTGCTCTCTTTCAGGACTATATCCTACCTTGGTTCCTACCCTGTACTCCACAGGTTGGGAGATCATCTCTCAAACTCCCAGCCTATTTATCATCACTGTCAGCACTTGGCTCTTCTGTCCACACTGAAACAGGCTTCTTTCTCAAAGCCTAAGAGATGGAAAATACTTACACTTGGGTATTTTTCATATTTAGAAACAAAGATGTCACTGTAACAGTATTCCTGAGGAGGGTTCATTCTAGAAAATGATGGTGAAAAGATTTACTTGGAATTATGTGTTTATTCCATTTTAGGAGTCTTACAAATTGATAGCTATGTTTTTGAAAAGCAACAGAAAACCCAAGTCACACTTGGGGGGAAGTTACATTTATTTAATAAGAATCACTGAATAAAGTGGGAGGCAAGAATGTGATGAATTTGGGGGAAATTTCTAAAGAACATAGAATGTAATAAATGTAACAAAGCTACAAAAATCACATCAATAAGCCTTCCAGACAAGATGGAGGCATAGGTAGATACACTTCCCTCCTTGCACAACCAAAAGAAGGAGAGCAACAAATTTAAAAACAAAATATAACCAGAACTGCCAGAAAATCTAACTGTATGAAAGTCCAACAACAAAGAAGTTAAAAAAGCATTCATTGAGACCAGTAGAAGGGGCAGAGATGGGCAGGCAGGGTGGAGAGGATTCATGGCAAGGCAGCAGCTGGTAAGCTGTGTGGACACAAATTTGCATATGAATAAACTGGGAGGAACAAATGGAGAATGAGAAAGGCTGTGAAACCTATTGTTCCAGTGCGGGGAAATGAAACCTCAAAACTTCTGACTGAAAAATTCTGTGGGAATTGCGGCAGCAGAAAAAACTCCCAGCCTCACAGGAGAGTGCTTTAGAGAGACCCACAGGGTCCTAAAATGTACACAAAACCATCCACCTAGGAATCAGCACTAGAAGAGCCCAATTTGCTGTGGGGAGCTGGGAAAGTGACTGAAAGCTGGCCAAGAGCTGAGCACATGGCATTGTTCCCTCTCAGACCCCTTCCCCACATACAGTGCAACAATGCAGCAATGTAGGTTGCCCTGCCCTGGTGAATACCTAAGGTTCTGCCCCTTATAACCTAACAGGAGTGCCAAGACAAAAAAAAAAAATGGCCCAAATGAAAGAACAGACCGAAGTTTCAAAAAAAAAAAATACAACTAAGCAACGAAGAGATAGCTAACCTATCAGATTCAGAGTTCAAAACACTCGTAAGCAGGATGCTCACAGAAGTGGCTGAATATGGCCCCCAAATAGAGGAAGAAGTAAAGGCTATGAAAAGTGAAATAAAGGAAAATATACAGGGAGCCAACAGTAAAGGGAAGGAAATCAAGACTGAAATCAAGGATTTGGAGCAGAAGGAAGAAGGAAACATTCAACCAGAACAGAATGAAGAAACGAGAGTTCAAAAAAATGACGAGAGGCTTCAGAACCTTCAGGACAACTTTAAACGTTCCAACATCTGACTCATAGGGGTTCCAGAAGGAGAAGAGGAAGAGCAAGAACTGGAAAACTTATTGGAAAACATCATAAGGAGAACTTTCCCAATCGGGCAAAGGAAATAGACTTCAAGGAAGTCCAGGAAGCCCAGAGTCCCCAAAAAGTTGGACCCAAGGAAGCACACACCAAGGCACATCATAATTACATTACCTAAGATTAAAGATAAGGAGAGACTCTTAGAAGCAGCAAAAGAAAATGAGACAGTTACCTACAAAAGAGTTCCCCTAAGACTCTCAGGTGATATCTCAAAAAGAAATCTCACAGGCAATAAGGGGCTGGAAAGAAGTATTTAAAGTCATGAAAAGCAAGGACCTACATCCAAGAATACTCTATCCAGCAAAGCTATCATTAAAAATGGAAAGTTAGATAAAGTGCTTCCCTGATAAGGACAAATTAAAGGAGTTTATCATCACCAAGCTCTTATTATATGAAATGTTAAAGGGACTTATCTAAAAGAAAAAGAGGAAGCTAAAAAATATGAATGGCAAAATGACAACAAACACAACTATCAACAACCAAACCTAAAAAAACTAAAACTAAAATGAACTAAGCAGACAGCTAGAACAGAAACAGAGTCATAGAAATAGAGATCACATGGAGGTTATCAGTGGAGGGGGGAGAACAGGAGGGAAAGTACAGGGAATATGAAACATGAATGGCAGGTACAAAATAGGGGTGGTTAAAAGTAGTATGGGAAATGGGGAAGCCAAAGAACTTACATGTATGACCCATGGATATGAACCAAGGTGGGGGAATGCTGGTGGGAGGGGGGGCACAGGGTGGAAGGGAATAAACGGGAGAAAATAATGGGACAGCTGTAATAGCATAATCAATAAAATATATATATTTTAAAATCACACCAATGAAAAGTTATAAATAGTAATATAAAGGCTCTCCTATACAAATCACAAAATATTGTACACAGGTGAACAATCTTACAAATTGGTAAGTAAATGCTTATGTCAAAATGTAATCTTATTCTCTTTTAAAGAACTCATACTGCAGAGAAAACTTTGTAATGTGGTACAGTCTTCAGTCTAGGACCCATTTCCACTGAAACATGTAATTCATACTGGGGAGAAATTATCCAAGGACCATGAATGTGAGATAGCCTCCAAGTACAGTTCAGCTTTTATTCAACCTCAGAGAACCACATGGACAGAGTGGCTTCTGAATTCCACAGATATGAAAACAACTTTATTCAGGAGTTCAAAGTGATTGATTGGACACCAGACAATGTAAAACTATGCATGCAAATAGGGGAACACCTTCGGGGAGTTGTAAACCTCACTGAGCAGTAAAGAAATGATCAAAGTACCAGACCTTATGTACACATGGAAGGTGGAAAAGTTCTCTTGTAGAAGTCAAAACTTTAAATGTATTCAAGAATTCAGAAAGGGACTGCACCATCACAGCGAACACAATGATGCACTCAGGGAGGAAGGACACCCATTACATGCAGAAGGGCTCATTCTGTGCAGTCATAGACAGTGGGCCAATGTGAGAAGGCCACAGAAAAAGACAGAACTCATGGTGCAGCAAGAATTCACAATGGAGACAGGAGGGATGAATGTGGGGAGTGTGTGGAAGGAAGTCTTCAGCAGAACACCTGTACTCAAGAGTCAGAAACCTCACATCACAGGGAGACATCCTCCAAATAGGTAAAGGCTTTTACTAAAAAATCATCTGAACTCTGAGTCATAGAATTCAAATGGGAACAACCACAAAATGTAACAAATGTGGAAAAAGTGATCCAGCAGAAACCAAGACTCAGAGAACATCAGAGAATTCACTGGGAGAAACACCAAGAGAATGGTAAACACAGGAAGACCTTCATTTGGGGGTCAGAGCTCATTGATTCTACAAGTTCATACAGAAGAAAAAACCTATAAAAGTGTTCATATGGAAGAGACTTCAGCAAGAAAGCACAATTCATTGTATACCAGAAGACCCACACAGGAGAAAAGCCCTGTAGAATAATGAATTAGGAAAGCATTCAGCAAAATATGAAATGTCATAATTAGCAGAGAAACAAGCCCTGGGAATGCAACATTTGTGAGGAAGGAGAATCTGTGTGTTACCCTAAGGAGATGCCCTGTCAACTTCAAGAATGCAGAAACACCTAGTCAGAACCTTCATGCACCAGAGGCTCTGTGTAGAGAATAGTCTCTATGTTGTATGAAGTATGGTTGATCTTCAAAATCAGTGCCATACATTAGATACTAGAGGATTGGCACTAATAAAAAGAGTCCACTTTAAACTTCAATTCTACCCCAAGAAAATAAAGTTTCATTACTTAGGGGACTTTGGCCAAGTTGGTGGTGTAGGCAGATATGCTTTGCCTCCTCACACAACCATAAGAAGATTCACAATTAACCTCAAAACAAAAAAACACCCAGAACTGGCAGGAAACCAAACTGTATGGAAGTCCAACAACCAAAGATTTGAAGAAGCCACATTCATCCAGACGAGTAGGAGAGGTGAGGCCAGGATGGAGAGGACGTGGTGTGTTGGCAACCAGGTGGCAGTGACAGTGGAATGGGTGGTCCCACATTAGGAATATCTGGGAAGGAAGCCCTAGGCCAGACTGCGTAGCCTAGGGTTCAGGGCTGGGAATATAAAACCTCATAACTCCTGACTGAAAAAAACAGTGAGGGTGGGGGTGGCAGAAGGAACTGCCAATCTCTCAGGAGTGTCTGTTTAAAGGACCTGAGGAATCCTAGAATGTACACAAACCCACCCACCCTGGGAAACACCCCCAGGGCAACAGCTAGAGGGGCACCAGTTGCATAAGTGACTGGCAGTGGAGTGAGTGCTGAATAAGCCTCCAGCAGTCAGGCAATGACAATGCCCCCTTTCTGACCCCTCCCCCCACATACAAAGCCCAAAGCCACAAATCATAAAGCCGTTGCCTTGTCTTGGTGAATACCTAGGGCTCTACCCCATACAATGTATCAGGTGTGCCAAATCAGAGAGTCAAAGCAGCTCTACCTAATACACAGAAACAAACACAGGGAGGCTGCCAAATTGAGGAGATGGCTCAAATGAAAGACCAGAACAAAGCCTCAGTAAAAGAACTGAACAAAATGGACATAACTAATTCTGTAACCCATCAGATTCAGAGTTTAAAACACTGGTGATAAGGATGCTTAGAGATCTCATTGACTATGGCAAAAGCATAAGGGAAGAAATGAAGGCTACACTAAGTGAAGTATAGAAAAATCCGCAGGGAACCAACAGTGAAGGGAAAAAAGCTGGGGTTCAAATCAGTAATTTGGAACATAAGGAAGAAATAAACATTCAACCAGAATCGAATGAAGAAACAATTTAAAAAAAAACAGGAGAGAATAAAAAGACTCTAGGACATCTCCAAATGTGCCAACATCTGAATCATAGGGATGCCAGAAGAAGAGGAAAAGAAAGAAATTGAAAACTTATTTGAAAAAACAATGAAAGAAAACTTCCCTAATTTGGTGAAAGTAATAGACAAACAGTCCAGGGAGCACAGAGAGTCCCAAAGAAGTTGGACTTAAAGAGAATCACACCAAGACACATCATAACTATTTTTTAAAAATATTTTATTCATTTAATTTTAGAGGGGAAGGGAGGGAGAAAGGAAGAAAAACATCAGTGGGCGGTTGTCTCCCATGTACCCCCCACCATGGTCCTGGCCTAGAAACCAGGCAAGTGCCCTAGACCGGGAATTGAGTTGGTGACCCTTTGGTTCACAGGTCAGCACTCAATGCACTGAGTCACACCAGCCGGAGCCATATCATAATTAAATTACCCAAGGTTAAAGATAAGGAGAGAATCTTAAAAGCAGCAAGAGAAAAGGAGAGTTACCTACAAAGGAATTCCCATAAGATTATCAGCTGATTTCTCAAAAGGAACCTGACAGGTAAGAAGGGGTTGGCAAGAAGTATTCCACGTAATGAAAAGCAAGGACCCACAAACAAAATCACTCTATCCAGCATAGCTATTATCTAGAATGGAAGGGCAGATAAAGTGCTTCCCAGATAAGTTAAAGGAGTTCAACATTATCAGGCCTTTATTATATGAAATGTTAAAGGGACTTATTTAAGAAAAAGAAGAAAATCAAAACTGTGAACATTAAAATGACAACAAACTCACAACTATGAACAACTGAACCTAAAAAAACAAACGAAAATTAAGCAAGCAACTAGAACAGGAACAGAATCACAGAAATGGAGATCACATGGAGGTTTATCAGTGGGGAGGGGGAGGGGGAAGCGCAGGGTAAAAGATACAGGGAATAAGAAGCATAATTAGTAGCTACCAAACAGACAAGGGGAGGTTAAGAATAGTATGGGAGATGGAGAAGCCAAACAACTTATATGCATGACCCATGGACATGAGCTGGGGGGGGGGGTTGCTGAAGGAAGAGGTGGTACTAGTAGGAGGGGGGCAAAGGAGGAAAAATTAGGACAACTGTAATAGCATAGTCAATAAAACATACTTTAAAAAATCTCATCACTTAAACCAAGCTTTTTGTAAAAAGAAAAATTATTGGAAAATAAACATCCATGCATCTGTGGTGTGAGCATCTTTCTCCTGATGCTACACTTGCCTTGCAAAGGGGACTTCCCAGAACATATTGGAAAACAAGAGTTTTTAGAGCCATCCTATGTTATCTACTTGAATTAATCCTCACCATGGACACAACTGTTCCTATAAGTGGTCTCACCCTGAAACTCCCAGCACAAGCCCTGACAGGCATCAGAAAAGGACAAGTGTGCCGTTGTTCATTTATTCTCACACCACTCACACCACTTTGGTGCATCTGACTTTCTTAGGGTTAAGGGAGTACAGATAGGAAAGGGGGAAAAGCTTTAATCTGAGTGTGACACCCTCAGATCCCAGGGGACAAGACTCCAAGGAAGATGCCCTTACACAAGTAATTTAATGGCGGGGGATGGGGCACCTGGACCCTCTGCTCTCTTCTGTCCCTGGAAGACCCATCTTCACTCACAGGGCCCTCGCCCAAGGCTTATCCCTCTGTGCCATGCTCAAGTGGCTCAGTCTAGCAGACAGACCTAAGATCTGCTCTTGTGGAAACTGCTGCTCCCAACTCCAGCCCACATGTCAGTTAGGGGTCCACACACTCTCACACACAGCCTGCTGCCTAAGTTCTGGTGGCTGATCAAGGGATGAAAATCTCACTCACACTGCAGTGTCTCAGCTTCAAACCATAGGGTGTAAGTTAAGTCCCCTCCAGAAGCAGAAGCATCTGTGTGGCCATTCCTCACCATTAATGGAAAGTCTAGTCTGCAGTGAGGAAATAAGGTACCAACGAACATGCATAGAAAAGCTGGGATAAAATTGGCACATGTTCTAGGTCTTCCCAGAGCCAGCTGCTCCCAGATGGGCATGGCCGCCTGGGAGGTCTCCTCTGAGTGATTCTTCCCAGTTCCCATTGTGATGCAGGGGAAAGAAAAGGAGAGAGAGGGAGTGACCATCCTCTTCACCACCTCACTACTTGGGGGCCTCTGTGTCCTCACCCTTGGGTGGAGCTACCACTGTGGAGGTCGCTTTGAGGCTCCGCTTCCGCTTCTGCACATTCTGCTCCGGGTGGAACAAGATGATGTAGGTTTTGGGTACATAGAGCATGCCGAGGGACACTGATGCACTCAGGCTCAAGGACACAGTCAGTGTGGTGGTTTGGATGTAGATCTGAGCCACAGAAAAGGGACCAGGTGGGACTGAGCCCTGTTCTTTCTCACCCCCACCCTTACACAGCCTGGGGATGAATACTTAGAAAAGGACAACTGCATAAGCCAAGGCCCTGTGGCATTAGGAAATGCTAGTCACGGGCAGCTCTGGTGTAGGTGGGAAGGAGGGTGAGTGACATAGCTCTGGTGGACCAGTGGCTGAGGGAAGAGGGTTTCGTTCACTAAGAGTGACACCTGTGGAAATGGTCCATATGCCTAAAAGGGCTAGAGGATATTCATGAATGAATGGACACGTTTTCGCGCGCCCAAACCAATGAACAAACAGACCGAGTAAAGGAGCGAGTGGACAAATGCATGTATGAGTAAACAAATGTTCTACTATACACATGAATAAATGAGTGAATGATGATCAAGCAAGTGGGCCAATAGATGAAAGGATCAGCAGATAGAAAGTATATGAAGAAGTTATTGAATGAAAAGGTGATCGATGATTAGAAGCATGGATGAATGAATGAACAAACAGAGGGCAATGGGAAAGACAAACAAGTGAACACGTATTTAAGTACATGAATGCATCAGGCAACCAGGCAATCATTCCTGTTTGTGGCTCAGCTCTTGGAACAACCAAGCCCTACCCTTCCATGGACAGGCAGGAAACAAATGAGGAAGCAAAACCAAGGGGAGAATGTAATTACCTTTTCAGCTGACTGGGCAGTGCCAAAGAAGATAGGCACAAAAGCCAGCCAGATGATGCAGGTGGTGTACATAGTGAAGCCAATGGGCTTGGCCTCGTTGAAGGTCTCGGGCACACCACGGGCCTTGATGGCATACACTGTGCATGTGACCATGAGCAGGAGGCTGTAGCCCAGGCAGCCAATGAGAGACAGATCCGACATGTCGCACTTGAGCACCCCTCTGGCTTGTTCTGGGTCCACTGTCCGCTGCTCTTCATAGTCAATCACGCTATGTGGGGGCTGGGCCCCCAGCCACACAATCACTCCCACCACCTACCGGAGACAATGTCATGTCAGGGACGTACTCAGACTGCCCACCAACTGAGGTCTCTGGCAAGTTAGGCTCCCCTGGAGGTCCCTGACCTACTGGATAGGATGCTTAGGTCTGAGAGAGCTGCCTTGAAGAAGAGAGGACCATGCAGGAGGGACTACCCAGGAGAAAGCCTGGGACACAGTCCACTGCAGAGGCGTGGCTGCAGTGGAGATATATGCTGGCAGCATCAGGACTGGCTGGGGAGGGGTTCCTAGATGTCTCCTTCCTGTATTCCGTGCATTACCAATTGTGTTTACTGAGCCTGCCAGGTGCTGTGACTGAAGGCAGAATCAGAGTTGTGACCCTAAATACGTCTTCTTCATTTACAAAACAGGAATACTCACAATCCATTGCAAGAACATGATGCCAGTGTGCAGGGGAGTGGTGCCTGAACACTGATTAAGGGCCAGGCCCAGCAGAGATGGTCTGTCCTCACAGCCACCAGCGAGGCAGCCTCACCTTCACTCTGTGAACCTGAAACACTAGCTTGTTCCCAATGAGCAGTGAGGCAAACCTGGTTCCTGAGGACCCCACTCCTTCTCCAGATCCAGAGAACTATCACACAGGATATGATGAAACCACATGTGAATGCACCATGCAGCCCCAGTGAAGAAGCCCCTCAGTGAGTGTTGTGAGAGGGTGGGGGAGGGATGTGGGGCAGTGGGAGGTCATCAGAGGAAGACACAGGTCCTAACAGTGAGGACATGGAGTTTGAATTCCCTCAGTGATGGGGACATGACCTTGAGCCAAGGGAAGCTGGGAGCAGGAAAGAAAACACCTGTATGAAGTCAGGGACCTGGAAGGGCTGCCAACCATCCATGCAGGTCATTCCCTGTATGAGTGCACTAGACTGGGGGAAGGGTGGGGGAGCAGGCGGGGCTGTGCACCTGGAGCAGGGCTGTGTGATCTAGGGGAAGAGGCGTTTTATAATAATGTGTATGACCAGAAGGAACACCTTTTTGTGATTCTCCCAAAAGCAGCCACTTCATGAACAAGGGACTGACTAATAAAATGTCATGCTGCCCACTGTTTTGGAAGGCAGCATGGAGGATTTCTTAGAGCGAGGCTCCAGATGGGGGAACAAAGTTTCCCATGGACAAGTAAAACTCAAGGCCTATGATGTGCAGGAGCAGCAACCAAAATGTACCACAGTGATTTTGAAACACCAGTAGCTGATAAAGAACTAGGATCCAACACATGTAACAGGAAATGATCTAAGTGTAGGAGCAGGCAGTCACAGAAGATACCGTTGCCACTGTTGGCTGCACCAGCCATGAAGGCGAGGTTAATAGAAACAACAGTGGGGGGCCATTGCACACCCATCATTTTGGTAAACAGCCTAGTGAAGTTTCAAGTGCGCCTCTTAGGAATGGTCTAAAGTTTCTGGAAATGAGGGCATAAAGTGGGGAGTCCCTAGGCGAGCTGGAGAGGTGCTGAATGTAGTCTAAGCAGCTCTCTGGGGTGCTGGGGTGAGTGCGTGTGGGGGTTTTGGGAAGAGAGGCATGATATGCTTTTCCGGATGAGCTGGGCACTACTGAGATTTTGGCCATGATAGAGAAAGTGCATGCCCTGCATGTGCAGGAAGCATCTTCTGGCTGTGAATGACATGCATGGAGGCCTGTGGGTGGGAATGAACATGAGCTGTGCATGACTGAGTGGTCAGGAGGGCCCCTTGGAGTGGACAGCATGCTGTCCACTGGCCCTGCAAACTGGGCTGGCTCTGCAGTGTCACACAATGTCACACACCTTTCTCTTAGCACCCTTTGCACAGAAAACACACAGGGCTTCCCAGACCATGGACTCAATGTCCAAAACTGTGGTACTGCTGTCTTAGATGAAGACCCCGAGGCATCTGCTTTTGCTGCACACACGTGGTGAAATCTAGCCATTCACAAACAGGATGTGCCATGTCACGGCCACATCACCAGGGCCCCATCCTCTCCCCAGGTCTGGACAGCAATAACTCCCTCCCTGGAAACAGATTCTTTGCTTGTGGAAAATTCATCAGATATCTCTCTGCTCTATGTGTATATGGGAACCAAGTTGTGGAAGAGCGTGGTCAGTTTGTGAAACTAATTCCAGTGCTGCCGCTCCCACCTTCTGACCCATTTTTCTTCCAGGAGAAGTGGAGGAATGGCTGGCTGCTCTTACTGGAGTCCTCCTTCCAGGAGATGGCTAGGGCCCTAACTCCCGAGGCTGCATATACTATGTATTTCCAAACTAGAAGAGTGGCTGAGTGGAGGTCAGGGTCCCCCTGCCCCCGCACCTTGAGAGCCTGGGGACCCACCTGCACGGAGGTGAGGCTGAAGGTGATGACAAGCTGCGAGGTGGGGCTGATGAAGGGCGGGGGCGTGACCGAGCGCTTCCCCTGCTCGAAGATCCGGTAGATGCGGTTGGTCTTGGTAAACAGGGCCGAGTAGCTGAGGGTGGTGCCCAGGCCAAGGAGGAGCCTCCGGGCGGCGCAGACAGCCGCCCCAGGCTCAGCCACCATGAGGAAGGTGATGGCGTAGACCAGGAAGATGCCAGCGAGCAGCACATAGCTAAGCTCGCGGCCTGAGGCACGCACGATGGGTGTGTCGTTGTGCCTAATGAAGGCGGCCACGACGGCTGCAGTTGCCACGATGCCCAGTGCCGCCAGGAGCAGCGGTGGTGCGGCCCAGGGCGAGGCCCAGGTGAGGCGCACCACGGGCGTTGGACGGCAGCCTGTGCGGTTGCGGGTGGGCCGCATGTGCCCTGGGCAGGCCTCGCACGTGAACTCATCGGCCTGGAAGCGGTACCCGTCGCAGGCCTCGCAGTGCCAGCAGCAGGGCACGCCCTTCACCATCTTCTTCCGCTCTCCTGGCCGGCAGGGCAGGCTGCACTGGGATGGCGGCACCTCCTGGGGGTCTCCTGTCCACTGCAGGGCATCCACCTGCAACCCGGACACAGGGGTTGAGAGCCCACCAAGTCTGGCAAGCCACCTCCTGCCCCTGGAGCTCAACCCAGGCCACTCACATCCAGCTGGAGCCTCTCGGCCCACTGGCCCACCGCCTGGTAGCCACCACTGCCTGCGCTGCCGTTGGCTGCCTGGTACTGGAAGATGTCGTATCTCCCGGGTGCATCCCCGTTCTCATTGAACATGACTGGGGTTCCCGCGCTGCCTGGAAGGAGAACCTGGCATCCTCACCCTGTTCTCCAGCCTGTCCCCGGAGGACTCCTGGAGAGGTCCAAGGCCCGGCCAGGATAAAGGAAGAGCTCACCAAGCACACTCAAAGATGCTCAGCATCATCAGGGAAATGCCAGTCAAAACAACAGTGAGAGACCACTCCTGCCCATGAGGACAGCCACCGTCCGAACAGCAGGAAGTGCCAAGACCAGCCAGGATGCAGAGAAACTGAAACGCTATGTGCTGCTGGTAGGAAAACCGCAGCCACTGTGGAAAACAGCATTGTGGTCTCAAAACACTGAACAGAATTACTACGTGATCCAACAATTCCACTTCCATGTATAAGCTCAAAGGAATGGACACAGGGAGTCAAAGCGATACTTGTACACCCATGTTCTTCGCAGCACATTCACAACATGAATGAAGAACGTCCTGGAGATTGGTTGCACAACAATGTATACAACTAAACCACACACTTAAAAGTAGTTAAGATGGTGAATATACTGTCTTATGCTATGTGTATGTTCACACATTAAAAAGAAAAAAGAAAGCTTAACTATCCAGGTGAAAGGATGAGCTCAGACTTGCCCAAAAGTCTGAGTGTTGGCATGAAATTTGTACTACTTTGAACAATCAGCTTTATTTATTTAGAAGCTTGTTCTTCCAGCTGGTCTGGAGTGAAATGCAGTTGTACTGTTTAGCAGAGAGCTTGGTAGAGAAAAGTTATTCAATATTTAGTGGAAGAATAAAATTTTAATTTTCTTTTTTTAAAAAGAATTTATTTATTCATGTTTAGAGGGGAAGGGAAGGCGAGAGGGAGAGAAATATCAATGTGTGGTTGCCTCTCATGCATCCCCTGCTGGGAACTGACCTGCAACCCAGGCATGTGCCCTGACTGGGAATTGAACCGCAATACTCTGGTTTGCAGGCTCACGCTCAATCCACTGAGCTACACCAGCCAGGGCTCAAAATTTTAATTTTCTAAAGGATGGCAATCGTATGTGAAGCATGTCTCTCCCCACAAGCCATGAGCACAGCCATGTCCATCTGGGCCTTTTCAGAAGCACTGACCATGTGCCAGGCCCTTTGCATCAGACTGGCACCTTGTGCTCAGGCAGCGCGGGGCCCAGCTGGGCTGGCAGCATGCCCACTCCGCAGGCAGTGCCTCTCCACTGTCTGCACTGCTCTGAGAGACCAGAAGCCTCTGAGCTCTGCTCACTGGGGGTGAGAGTTGTGTGAGACCTGCTGAGGGTTCCAGGCAGAAGGAGTCACAGAGAACTTCTCTAACATCAGCATTTTTCAAGTTGGGGCAAGATGTAGGGACCCTGAGGGAGGAGGAGTGTTAAAAAGTGGTCCCCAAAACTTGGCTCAAGTCCCCAGAAGGTCTCAGGCCCAGGTGCTCCCTGTACCATGCTGCCTCTCCCATCCCTTTGATCCTGCCTCATTCCAGATCCCACCGAGAAATCCATTTCGAGGGACTCACGTAGGGGCTCCTGCACCACTCACCATTGAAGCGGACTGCCCGAATATACTGCAGCAGTGTCCGCCCATCTGTGGGCTCCATCGCCGGGCACAGGCCTGTGTGCCCAGGACAGAGCTCCTGGTGCATGCTGTGCAGGGCGTGGGCAATGGCGTACACCGCGTCGATCACAAATTGCACCTTCCCCTCCTGCTGGTAGCCAGAGTCCCGGCCGATGCGTTCCTCACCTGTCCTAGGGATGCCCAGAGGAAGTGCGCCTGGCGCCCCATGTCCAACCTGGCCTCCCACCTTCTCCCTCGCTTCTCTTGCCTCCCTGGGTAGCTCTCACCTGTGCATTTGCGGGTGGAGTCATCTGACTGGGCACCTGAGCTGGTCAGTTTGCAGTTAAAATTCTCTTCCCAGAACTCTGCAAACCAGATGTTCCGGCGGTTGTTCTCCAGGGAGCGTGTCATGAAGTACTGGTCAAATCCTGAGAGAAGGGGCAGAAGGGTGGCAACCGTCCAAGCCAGCCACGGTTCTCCTGTGTCCCCTTCACCACTTGCTCACTTTGCAGCTGGGAATGGCTATGTGACCAACTTCTGGCCTAAGAGTTCTGGGGCTTCCAGGCTACAGTTTGTATCCTGATGCAAACTGAGAGCCTCACTGTATGAAAGACTTTTATGTGCACCTTCTTTCCCTGTTAGGATGCTGCTGCCAACATGTAATGGGTGGAGCTTCCGCAGCCATATTGTAAATAGGCTGCAACGATCATGGAAACACACAACAGCCACCAAGGGTGATGAAACATAAGGGGGGACAGAGCTTAGGACTTTGAGCCCATCACTGACTCACTGCCTCAAACCTGAAGTCTTGTCTTGTGATGAAATGCTTTTATTGCTAAAACTACTCTCAGTCTAGTTTGCCACTTGCAACCAAATTCATTCTAAGGGGAAAAAAAGAGTATGAGGGTGTGTCAGGCTCAGCTGCTCCTCCTCCTGGAGGAGCTGGGCATCGTGGCCACCACCACAGGCAAGGCCACCTTCCTGCAGCACAGCAACAAGCCCATAGTGCACGCCTCAGCCGTGGACTCAGCTACATGCTGCTTGCTGGCACCTTCCTCGTCTATACCACCGCCTCCCTCATAGTGGCCGGGCCTGGGGCCCAGCTTTACAGGTAGCCCTGAAGTCTCCCATCAAGTTGTAAAGTGAACACCCTGCTTCCAGACAGTCACAGGTGGGATGGTGGGAGGGTTAAGGGGAGGGGAGACCTCATTACTTGGAGCAACTGCACGGTGTGTCCCATGTCCTCAGTTTCTCTCCTTCCCACTCATCTGAAATCACAGTGCCCTTGCCAGGATGAGGAATATGTGTGTTGAATTAAAAAATAAAACAAAGCAAAAAATACACACACTAACTTACAATTCTCCCCCTGTACGGTGGGTGTGCTATTCCTCGTTTGCCAGCTCATTCAAGCACTGCTTGGAGAGATGTACTGACTGAAATCTCAGGACCAGAGAACCTAGAACTCTTAGCAGGGATCTGGACCACAGTGTGGTTTTACCAATGGGGGAAATGAGTGCCCCAAGAAGAATAGTGGGGAGGGATGGAGTGGGGGGATGAGGTGTAGAAGGGCACCCCTGCACTCACCATCGATGGAGGCTCTTTTGGGCAGGATGGTGATGGCCCCCACAGCCACGTCCTCCAGGTTCAGGATGGGGGAGGCCTTGGCTCCCCAGCTGTCTGAGCCAACCCACAGGAAGTGGCCCGTCAGGTTGGCCTGGTGTGCAGCCTCTAGGACCCTCCTGGTGGGAGCAGGAATGGGCTCAGTAAAGGCCTGAGATCTTCCTCCAACAGACCTCTCTCCACTCACCCCATTCCACATCACTCATCAGACTCCCATTTATCATGAAAAATGGGCTGTGGGGTGTTTAGGACCCTTGCTCTGGGCTTTTTAGACAGTCAGGAGTCCAGCCAGGCTCTGGCTCAGACTTGCCCTCTTGTTCTGTGCACTGTAACCCACTTCACGCTGCCTGGAAGGAGGGCCTCCCTCCTCTTACAGAGCCTCCTGCTGCCTCTGCCCCCAGGGTTCCTTCCCTGATGCTCATTTTCTGTACTCAGATCTGCCCACAGGTCTCCCCCACTGTGAATTATAAAAACAGACATGTATTCTTGTGTGTTCCCCTGGCTGGACTTGGAGCTCCTCCACCCATACCAGGCCTGGCTCATTTCTGGGGCACCAGGCAGAGATGGCAGCAGGGGCAGTGTGTAGGGAGGGGAAGTAAGAGAGGGAGGAGGGGAGGAAGGGAGGAGGCGCAGGGGGTGTGGGAGAAGACAAGGCAGGGCCTTCAGGGAGAGCCTCTGAAGAACAGTGGCTAAGGCACCACCTGTCCCACCTGATGTCGTCTTCACTGGCAAAGATGATGATGCCCCTGGCGTTTGGTGTCTCCATGAGTCGCCTGATCACCTTGTTGAATTCTCCTGGCTTTGGTTCTCTGGGAATCTTGATGGACTGTGCTATGCAGACCCCCCCTGGGTGTCCGGGATGCCAAAGTCAGCTCTCATCCATCCCACCCACCCACTGGGTTGCCACTGTGTGTGACTGTGTAGTGTGATCTTCAGGGGCCTGGGCCTCTCCTGCCAGGCCATGAGGCAGGGCCGAGGCCTCCAGAGGAAAGGGGCTCCTCCCCACAGAAGACACTATCCAGGCTCCCCACCACAGACCAGTGCCGCTTTCTCATGGCCCTTGGCTCAACCCCATGTGGGCTCTTTGGTGCCTCCAATCCTCCTGCCCCAGCTCACCAGCCTCTCGGGAGATCTGCACAAAGGCCTCAACGCCGCTCTCGCCATAGTTGCCCTCCGAGGCCAGCGTGGACACGTAGTTCCATCCCAACGCCCGCACAATGTCCACCATGGCCTGCGCCTGGTAAGAATCAGGGGGCACCACGCGGGAGAAGAAGTCGAAGCGTGTGGAGTCACTGAGCTCAGGGGCTGTGGAGGCATAGCTGATCTGGGGGATCTAGAAGGAGAAAGGACACTGAACTGTGGATAGGGTTAGTGATCCCAGTAATGAGTGCCCAGGAGGCAGGCGAGGTCATGAAGAGTTTGGGGTGGGAACCTGAGCACCAGTGGGAGTGGCCAGTGGCGAGGGGAGAGGCCTGATCCTTGTGACTGGGTCTAGTGAGTAGGGGACATACAATGGTCTAGGGCAAAACCCCACATCGTTGTGCAGGGTGTGTCAGAGCAGAGGAGCAGCGGGAGCACACATCACCCTGCCGACAGTCCAGCCTGCAGGCTCAGGCTGTGTCTGACCTGGAGAGGGATGTCCTTGTCAGCCCCTGAGGAGACCCTTTCCTATCTCACAGAAAGGGGCAGTCTGTGTGGGTGGGGGCAGCCCCAGGAGGGGCAGATCAGACAGAAGAGCAGGGGAGAAAGGGGAGCATGTGATTCAAGGCTGTGTCTAGCCTGAGGCAGGGGCCTGTTTGGACCTGGGTTTGTCTGTGTGCAAGAGAGCAACTGCGGCAGGGACTGATGAGCTGAGCTGACCCAGGAGAAGTTGGGCTGCACAGGAGGGAATGGGCAAGGCAGTGGCAGAAGTGAGGAACCGAGGGGAGGGAAGCTAGCAGATGGAGGGGAGCATCAGAACTATTTTCAAGAAAGACACAGTCACAAGGGAAGCATCCAGTGGGAGCTGGGTGAAGCTCGGAGAGGGAAAAGGTTCTGGAAGGATGCAGCTGGTCTGGTCTTGGGAGGACAGGGCTGTTTGAAGCAGGACAGAAAGAAAATGCAGAGGGTGAAAACCTATGGAAAGGGAAGGCAGAGCAGGAGGAAGAAGGAAGGAGTGAGGGAAGAAGGAAGGAAGGAAGGAGAGATAAAAGGAAAAACAAGAAAGACCAAGAAAGAGGGGAAATCAGAGAAAATGAGGCAGAGAAGGGCCTGCTTGCTGTAGTACAACCAGTGGACACTGTGGTTGTTCTGGGCACTCTTGATCCTTTGGTTTAATCTTCTGAAAAGCCTTCCAGGTTGACTGTCCTTAGGGAAAGTGGTTTAAAATGACTGGGAGCATAGGATGTGGCTGAGAAGTGAACTCAGAAACTCTTATCTTTGCTACTGGACCAGAAATTGCAAAGCAGCCCCCAGGGAGCCAAACGGGACCCTGCAATTAAGCTTTGTACACTAGTCTTTATTTTTTTTAATATTTATATTTTTAGCCAGTGTCTAAAGTCTTAGGGTGCAGCACCACCTCAGTCCTGGCTGGGCTGGCAGCAGGGGGTCCAGGGCTCACAGGGTCCTGCTCATTCAGTTACAGTCCCCATGAGGACCCTGAAGGCCCTGGGGTTTGAGATGCTGCACTCAACCCAGAGGGAAAAAGAGAAACCAGAGCTCCAGGCAGGGAAGGAGACAAAGCCCACAAATGTGACTAGACATAGGCTGGTGAGGCAACTCCCCCCCCCCGCACACACACACACTGGGCAGCCACACAACCTATCTCCATGCCAACTAGAAGGTGCTTCTGTATGCTCTACACCAAAGCTGTCATCCAGCAGAAGCTGGGGTGGGAGGGATTAAGTGGCTGCAGATGACAGAAAAGGGCCCATCATGGAACTGATACAGAGTACACTCCTGGGATAATCAGAGAAACTCAAGACACAGAAGTCCCTTGCTGGGCCAGACCCTGCTAGAAGCAGTTTTCCTCTCTTCTCAGACAGGAAGGGTTAGCAGTGCTCCAGTGAATGCAGAGAAACCCCCAGCTCTGATGCCAAAGGCCCCCTAATCATTGATTCAGACAGCTTCCCAAATCACTGCCCCTCAGATTGCAATGGAGATGCTGCCTCCCTCAGAAGACAGTTCCCAAGGGGTGAGGGCTTTGGTGGGCCTGTCTGAGCCTCTGGGACAGGGCAGGGCGCTGCCGGGGAGAACTCTAGAAAGGAGACCCCACTGCCATCCCTTAACAGAACTTTAGAGACAAGCATTTGAAATTGAATTTGAATGATGATCAAAAAAGAGGAGAAGGTAGGTACAAGTCCTTGCAGACCCACTGACTCCCAGAGCAGCCAAGAACTTGTCCCAGTTGCTCCACCAGGAGGGCCTTGGTGCCAGGAGAAACTTGCTCCTGGTCACCCAGAGCTTTCCACAGGGTCCAGGGTCAGGACCCCCATGCACGGTTGTGCAGGGTGTGCCCCAAACTAGGACACCGGAATAAGCAGCCAAGTGAGGTCTAAAGTCCAGTGCGCCCTGCTCATCCTGTCTGCCCTCGGCCCAGGAGGTCGGTTTCCTCATTCACACAGCGAGCTGTGTGCAGTTCTGGGGTGGACCTGGCTCGGGGTGGACCTGGCTCAGGCTGGCGTCTGGCCCGACCCACAGAATTTCTTTGAAGCAGCTGTGTATGAATTGGAGTGATTTCTGCAAGGAGACTAGACCTCAGTCACTTCAAGGGAGAGAAGGGGACAGAGGGGCTGGACACTGAACTTGGTCCGCCGCCCTCACCGCAAACAGGCGCAGCACGTTGGCGACCATGATGGAAACAGAGCTGGCCGAGGCGCCCACAACAGCCACCACGCGCTCGGGGGGCGCTGCGCGCAGCGGGGGGACGCCGCCAGGGCAGCGCAAGGCTGCCTCGTCGCCATCCCCGCGGCCGCGGATCAGCGCCTGTACGAAGCTCAGCGCCTGCTCCAGCGCGTAGGTGTCACGCGAGCAGGTGTCGAGCAGCCGGGCGCCCAGGCGCACACCGGGCAGCAACGTGGGATCAGCGTTGATGCGGTCCAGCGCATACAGCATGGCCTCCAGGCGATGCACTCCCTGTTCCTTCTTCAGTGGCCCGCACGGCCTGCCCGCTGCCCCCCGCGCGTGCACCGGGAACAGGCCGCCCAGTGTGAGGCCGCCTGCCAGGCGCACGGAACCCTCTGCGCCCGCTGCTCTCGCTGCGCCCCCCCACGCCAGCAGCAGCATCAGCACTGGCATCAGCTGCGCCAGTAGCCCCGGCTCCAGGATGCTCCGGGGCCCAGCCATCGGCTCGCCGGCTGCGCCTTGCCGGGAGAAATGGGGAAATGCGAGCCTTGGGGCCTAGGGAGAGAGAGGAGCGCCATGATTGTTGGCTGAGCCTATCCAGAACCTACCTCCGCACTCCCCCTCCGGCTCTCAACACCTACTGAATCTTATCACTTGGGTCCCCTGCCCGACCAATGTTTCCAGCGTGCCAGCCCTTCCCCTTCTCGACTGTTCTGGACTGCTTTGCCTGGGGCCCATCCCTAGCACACACCCAGACGCCCCTCTGTTGCCACACTCACCGCCGCTGTCGGGTCAGGATGCAGCTGTGACAGACGCAAATCATGAGAGGATTTAAGGATTGTGGGGAAGGCTGAGAGGCTTCCCTGGGAGCAGAGACCCGCCTCAGCCCCGAGCCAGGGTTGTGCGCAGAACTGGCTCCACATCCTCCCCTCTCTCCTACTCCCTGGGTCTGCTCTTGTTCTGTCTTTGGATGTGTGTCTGACCTGACTCTCTCGGGTTGTCTCTTTCACACAGCTGCTCTTCTCTCTCTTGGTCGGTTTCTCTCTCTGTTTGCCTCTACTTATCTCCTTCTCCCTTCTCTTTCTTCTTTCTGTGTCTCTCTGACAATTTTTATTTATCTCTCCCTCTTTTATCCTTTTCTCCCTCTCTTCTGGTCTTTCCTGGCCACCAGTTTCCTGGCTCCAGCTGCCTAAGGCACTTCCCAACTTTCTCCTTGTAAAACCTTGCAGTAAACCGATGAGTTGAAGAGGAAAGGAGCCCAGGCTGAGTGAGGTGTGTGGACCTGAACAGGAAGAGGGAGAACAAGGCTGGGCAGAAAGCGACCGGGGGAAGCCAACCTTTAATATTAGCAAGGACTCTGCTTAACGCACCAACAATGACCTTGCAAAGAAGAGACTTTTACCATAGCCCCATTTTGCAGATGAGGAATTAGAGACCCCAAGTAGTTAAGTGATCTGCCCAAGGTCACATGGTTGGGGTGTGTCAGCATTAGGATTTGCACCCAGGTAGTGTGAAAACACCAGCCCACATACCTCTGATGGAAGGAGGGGACAGGCCAGCTTGCCCTACTGATCAGACCCCCTCCTCCTGAAGCTCTTGAGGGAGCCCTAAGGACTTGCTCTTCTGGTTGTTTATGAGCCTTCCTGGGCTCCTGGGTCTGAAGCAATGAGTCACACTGTGTGAGGCTCTCTGTACCTGACTTTCCCCCTCTCATCGTTTTGGGCTAAAGGTGAAAGGGACTTGATCTAAAGATATCTTTACCGTACTGTCTGAGGCCCTGGATTTGGCTTTCTGAGACCCTGAGAGCAAAGGGCATGCTGGAGCCAGGTGGTCAGCTCCCAGCCACAGGATTAGCAGGCTTGTCCTTTTGGGCCTGAGCTGGCTTGAGCTCCATTAGATGGGCTGGATTAGGTTGGCACAGGGATTTGGTCAAAGCTGGAAGTGAAAACAAGTAAAAGCCACATCACCCTTCTGTCTTCCACCAATATTTACAGTCCCTGCTCCCACAGCTGTCCAGGCACCTCTCCCTGGCAGAGGCCTGGGTGAAGCATGGCTGTGCCCATTGTATAAGTTGGGAAGAATGGAGCATTTACTGTATTTTGCCCTCTATAATGCACACTCACATTTTTGGCCCAAACTTTCAGGAAAAAAAATCTTTTAATTTTTAAATCAATTTTTATTTATATTTAGAAACAAAACCAATGATCATATTCCAGGCATTACTTTGCATATGGATATTGTTATTGCTGTTTAGAGTTACCCTTTTAATGCATACATGTAAATAAAAGAATTAAAAACATTTATATAGATACGGAATCAGTACTACTCATGTATAATGCACATCATTATTTTTCCCTCAAAAATTTGAGCAAAAAATGTGCATTATACATGGCAAAATACAGTAACTCTGCAAACCTGGCATTTGAGGTGGGTGGGCTGTAGCTGGGCTCACACTGTCCCTTACAGCTGGCTCAGGACTGGTCAGACAGGGCCACAGTTGACATCGCAAAGCAGGTTCCAACTCATAGAATCAGAGCATCCCTATGACTCCAGAATGAGGATGGACCATTAATGAACTGGGGCAAAAGCCTTCACTGAGGTGCAAGAGGTGGGTGAGAGGGTCTGGCCCACATGCTGGAGGTGAAATTGAGAGAAGTAGGTTGTCCCCTGGCATGGGAAGAACTAGAGGTCAGGGAGAAGAAGGCACCATAATGCGGACACCTGGGAAGAGGGTCAGCGTCCCTGAGAATGTGAGAGCCAGGACCTAGATTGAGCAGAACCATGGAGAAATGAAGCCAAGAGTTTGATTTGGGACACAGGAAAGTCAAGAATCTCATTTGAGATTTGAAGGCATATGTCAAGCCTAGGGTTGTATTCGTGAGTATGGAATTGAAGGAAGAGGTCAGGGCCGGAGATGAAGTTGAGGTAGCAAGAGCAAGTGTGTGGGATGGATAGTCTTGGGCGAATGCCTGTGCACAGGGTGTGGACAGAGGGTGGGGACAGAGCCCCCGGCATCCCAACCCCTCAGCCAGGAGGCTGAGCAAAGAGAGGCTGCTGAAGCAGGCAGAGGAAGGGTGGGAGAGTGGGCAGCACAGAGGCCAACAAACAAAGCTTGAGGAAGGAAGAAAAACTATCACAACTGATTTAGCCCCATGCAGTAGCAAATGGTCATTGTTCACCTGGCACTGATGAGACAACTGAGGCAGAGAGGGATGGGCACTCCTCAGAGGCCACACAGCACAAGGGATGTGGGGCTGTTCAGACATGCTGAGGTCAAAAACTCAATGACCTTTACTGCTGAGTCCAGGATTTCAGCTCTATTTCAGTGGACAAGGGTCAATTAAATTATAAGTATGCTTTCCACATTTCTAACCAGAGCTGGATGTTAAATATATTTTTACACTTGTGCCCCACCTTAACAACCACGTGATTTTTATTACACAATTAATTGAAAACTGTATGTTCTTGGGTTTATTTAATGGTGAGCTTACAAGTGCCTGAATTGTGTTGTTAGATACATTCCATCTGGGACAGGTCTGGTGAGAGAAATGGTGCACATGTCATGGTGTCCGTGCCTGAGAATGTCCCTCTCACCCCTCCTTGAACATCCTGTGTAGCGGACAAATACGAGGCACATGTGCATTAAGGAGCCTGCCACCCTGCTCCTTCCCTGACATGCCAGCCCCTCACCAGGCCCTTCACTCTATCCCCCCTCCACTAAAAAGGAGCCTCCGCTGATCCCAAGGGCAGCAGACTTGTCTCCACAGCAACAAGGTGCACTGCAGGAAGCAGCTGTCGCTAAGCCCCAGCATCACCTTTCTCCATGCTTCCTGTTGGCCACTGGCCTCCAAGGGCCAGCTCATCCCATCCATGGACCAGCATGTACTACCCACTAGTCACTGGAAGCCTACAACTGTTTATTTTGAACATGTACTTTTTGGTTCCTAAGGATACCAACTTTGGAAGCAGGTGTCTCTCAGCACAGGTCTGAGTCAGCGTGATCCCCTGACTGGGAGGCTGAGACAGAGACGCTCACTGTTTCATAGTGCTGGAGCCTAGAAGTCGAAAAAGTGTTGGCAGATGTGGCTCCTTCTGGAGACAACTTCTGTGAGGGAAGAATTTCTTCCAGTCTCTTCTTAACTTGTGGATGGCTGTCTTCTCCCTGTGTCTCCACATGGTCTTCCCTGTCTCCACATTTCTGTGTCCAAGTCTCCTCTTCTTTCAAGGCCACCACTCATTCATATTGGACTTGGGACCACCCTAATGACTTCATTTGACCTTGATTATCTTTGTAAAGACCCTATCTCCAAATAAGGTCACATTCTGAGGCCTCGGGGGTTGCACTGCAGCACACAAAGCAGCCTATAACAACAGGTAAAGACTTTGCAAATGAGCTTTTGCCCAGGGCTGCTAGGCCTTTGCTTTCAGACAGTAATAACTGATCACATTGGTTATGAATTGACTGGTGGTCAGGAGCAGACACTGAGCATAGACTTGGTCTGCTCCAGTTCCCTTGAGCAGACAGTTTGATCCCAGGCACTCTGGCACCCCCAGAACAACCTGGATAGGTAGGGCCTGCTCCTTTCCACTGACCACCAAATGCAGAGCATTGTAGCTACTGAAATATGAAGTTTAATTGAAAACAGCAGTTGCAACACCCTGATGCTCATTTGGTCATGCAAGCTTAGATGAGAGTGACACATAGAAATCTTTGGAACTTGTATTAGAATATGTCTCTCTTCCTAAATTATACAAGGCACAGTTTTGCCTCCTTATGACATTATATAACTGGAGAGGGGGTATTTTCAAAGGGAAAAACTTTAAGTAACTTGATCAAATCTGAATCTTGCCCTAAGGAAAAATGCACAGACCACTAGACAACTAAACCAAATGTGTGTGATACTGTATAAAATTGTCAGTTTTTATTATGTCGCTCTGTATGATCTTTATTGATTTGAAGATCAATATGAGTGTAAACATTTGGGTTCACAGTTTTGATAAAGGAAGAATTTTGAAACAAATGTTTAAATGCACCAAAGAGTAATTTATAAGGTAGTGTTTTAGTCTGCCTTGCCACAAGGCAAGGAGGAATTCCAAGTGTCAAATATACTTGAAAAACTCTTGATTTAAAATTTTTAATTACTAAATATCAGAGAATTCCTAGTTCAGGGATACTGCCTAATTGTGTTTTTAATGACAAAGTCTTTAACCAGAATACACATTTTCTTAAAACTTAGAGAAATCAAAGTGTATAAGGCCATAGAATGAATCTTAGGGAAGTTTTTCCAGACAGGGGTCAGAAAACTTTTTCAAATTCAGAAAACTTCAATATCATGGAAATTTCTCCATAGTACAGTGTCAAGATACGATTAAAGCAGAAAACATTTTCTTAAAGGACAATGTGGTAGGCTGGATAATGCCCCTTCCCGACATCTGTTCAAGTTCTAACCCCCAGTACCTTTGGGGTTACCTTGTATGGCAAATGGGACTTTGCAGATGTGATTAAATTAAGTCTTTTGAGATGGACAGATGGTCCTGGATTATCCTGGTGGGTCCTGTGTAATCATAGGGTCCTTATAAGAGAGAAGGTGATGTGAAGATGGATGCAGGGAGAGACTTGAAGATGCTAAATTCTTGCTTTGCAGATGCAGAAATGAGCCACAAGTTGAGGACACAGCTGTGAAACCTGGAACAGGCAGGGAAATGGCTTGTCCTCCAGCACCACTGAAGGGGACTCCATCCTGCTGGCATCTTGACATTCACCAGTGAATTTCAGAACTTTGTAAGAAAATATTTTTTTTGTCCTAAATAACTAAGTTTGTGGCAATTTGTTGGCATGGAAATAAGCCACAGGGGCACAGGCAGCTGTGTGAGTGGGTTCTCCACTCTTCCTATCAACTTAGGTCAGGAACCCCAACTGCTAGGTCTAAGTTGAGGTCTGGAGGGCCTGCCAAAGGCCACTGGAAAACTGAGGGGTCGGGGAGCAAACAACAGTTCTACTGAGCTGTCCATACATAAACAAATAGAACCTGAACCCTACCTCACTCCACATGCTAAGACCAATTTCACACGCAGCAGTGACCTAATGGGAAATGCAAACCAATAA